AAAAAAAAAAAAAATGACTGTACCATGGAAATAAGAGAATCATTATCAAAACAAAGAGAGTGTATATGGGAGTGGGATTGTTAAACATCTCCTGGAAGAGGGGGTGCAAACCTTAACATCAAAAGCTGGAGAAGGCTTTCCCATTGAGCCAGGCTTAATTTTCATTCCCTTAAAATTTCCACAGATTAGCACCTGTGGAAAGCAGAAGAAAAAGTAAGATAATGTTACAAGTAACTAAATTTATTCATTCATCCATCATGTATTCATTCAATAAATGTTTACTGAGAATTTACTGTGAATTGGGCTGAAAATTAAACAGTCTCTGCTCTCATGGAATATAGTGATAAACAATAAATACACAGATATACATGTATATGTAATAAAGTTACAACACAATAAAATTATGACCGAAATACCCACATTGATTAAAACAAGAGAGTGTGTGTGTGTGTGTGTGTGTGTGTATTTGTTTGTTTGTTTGGAGACAAGGTCTCTGTTGCCTGGGCTAAAGTGCAATGAGTGGCATCATAGTTCACTGCAACCTAAAACTCTTGGGTTCAAGCAATTCTCCTACCTCACCTCCTGGGTAGCTGGGACTACAGGTATATGCCATCATACTTAGCTAATTTTTATATTTTTTGTAGAGAAAGGATCTCTCTACATTGTCCAGGCCAGTCTCAAACTCCTAACCTCAAGCAATCCTCCTGCTTCAGCTTCCCAGAGTGCTAGGATTCATTACAGGGGTGAACCACACCAGACCTAGCCAAAACATGAGTATATTAATATTTGTACTCATTTTAGCACAATACTTGTTAGGCTATTTCTACTTAATACATTTCTCAATTCTTTTTAATTTTATTTTTGGAGTTTTAATATTTAGCCAGGTAACACATTTACAGATTAATACATTGAAGCATTATATCAGGTAAAAAGGCACACTATGAAAAGTTTCTTTTTTTTTGAGACAGAGCTTCAAGTTATTCCCCTGGGTAGAGTGCCGTTGCATCACAGCTCACAGCAACCTCCAACTCCCGGGCTCAAGTGAGTCTCCTGCCTCCACCTCCCAAATAGCTGGGACCACAGGCGCCTGCCACAATGCCCGGCTATTTTTTGGTTGCATCAGTCATTGTTTTGGCGGGCCCAGGCTGGATTCCAACCCGCCACCTTAGGAGTATGTGGCTGGTGCCCTAGCCACTTGAGCCACAGGCACTGAGCCTATGAAGTTTCTTTCAGCTGTTCCCTTATCTGCTACATCTTACCCCTCTCTGTTCTACAAGATAACCACTCTGGGGTTAGCCACAGTGGCTCACACCTGGAGTGAACAGCTCAGGAGTACAGACCAGCTCTAATAAGAGTGAGACCCACCCCTTCTCCACCTTATCTTTACTAAAAATAGAAAAAGTACCCAGGCTTTGTGGCTGGTGCCTGTCTAGCTAGGTTTTGTGGCTGGTGCCTGTAGTCCTAGCTACTCTAGAAGCTGAGGAAAAAGGAACACTCAAACCCAGGAGTTTGAGGTTACTGTGACCTTTGACCCCACAGCACTCTACCCAGGGCAACTGAGTGAAACTCTGTCTCAAAAAAATGAAAAAAACACTTTTGTTCTTATTTCATTTTTTCCTGTAGAATTTCTTCTTGTTCTTATCACTATGAGCTCTTTATAAAACCCTTTTTAGAGTATACTTGATAAATTGTCCAGCAAACTCTTAAATGCTTTACATAACAAAGAGCTCAGCATTTTCTATTGTGAGGCAGCCCTGAGAAAGTTCCCTATCACATAAGAGAGAAATCTTTCTTTCAGCAGATCCAGTAGTTTTTCCTTTACAAAAAAGATACTACATCTTTTTGTTGGGCCGAGGTTGGGTGGTCTCACTTTTGTTCAGGCTGTTCTGGAACTCCAGAGCTTGAACAATCCATCCACTGCAGCCTCCCAAAGTGCTAGGATTACAGGCTTGAGCCACTGCTCGTGGCTCCCTGAGAGACTGAGGTAAGAGGATCACTAGAGCACAGGGGTTTGAGGTTGCTATGAGCTTTTCGTTTGTTTGTTTTTTGAGACAGAGTCTCACTTTATCGCCCTCGGTAGAGTGCTGTGCTGTCAGAGCTCACAGCAACCTCCAACTCCTGGGCTTAGGCAATTCTCTTGCCTCAGCCTCCCAAGTAGCTGGGACTACAGGTACAGTTTGGCTGGGGCAGGGTTCGAACCCGCCACCCTCTGTATATGGGGCTGGTGCCCTACCCATTGAGCCACAAATGCTGGCCTTTGCTGTGAGCTTTAAAGCCAGGGCATTATACCCTGGGGCAACAGAATGAGACTCTGTCTCAAAAAATGAAAGAGAGAAAGAGTAGAGAGAGAGAAAGAAAAGAAAAGAAAGTAAGGAAGGAGGGAGGGAGGGAAGAAAGAAAAAAAGAGAAGAGAGGAGAGGAAAGGAGGAAGGAAGGAAGGGAAGGAGGGAGGGGAGGGAGGGAGGTTGGTTGGAAGGGAGAAAGCAAAATGAAACAATAATGCTTTTGCCCTGATCAGTTAGTTATTGGCAGTTTTTCTCAATGAATTGCTATTTAGACAACTATCTTTTAGAGAGCTTTTTTGCAACAAGCTTCTCTCAAGCTGTTTTCTAAATTGTTTAATAATCACTCCACTCTTTCCCTAGCTCTCAAACAATTATAAGGTTATAATAGACCATGGGTTTTTATTCATCTGACTAAATCGAGTTCAGCCCTGTCTTTTCAGTGAGATTAGGTACCGTTTCCGTTTGTCCATATCCTTCATAGATATCAAGGCCAGTCTTGTTTCTCCATTGTTCAATCACTTCAGGATTGATTGGTTCCCCAGCGCTCACACAGTGCTTTAAGTTTTTGAACTTATAGCTTCTCAGAAAACAGATAACAAGTTAGATTTTGGAGGGAAGTAGAAAGTAGGATTATTTCTAATGAACTTCAGTATGAAATGTATTTTACTTTCTTCCTTATTCCTCTCCCCATACAAAATAAGTCATTCTAACATAATAAAATAATACCCAAAATATCAATTTTTCTTTCTCTTTTCTATCTTTTTTGGCAAGAGAGGTTGGTAATTTGTGGCAAAGAAAAGCCCGTCTCTCTGTAGGGTGGGTAACCCATAATAACGTTTATCAGCAATGAAAAGTTTACCAATTGTTTGGTTAAATTGATGGGGAGATATTTATACAGTAGAATACTATATAACTGTAAAAAAGAATGAGGAAGTTCTTGGACAGTGTTGTCCAGTAGAACTTTCTGTCATGATAGAAGTGTTCTATAATGTGTACTATCTACTATGGTATAATATACGCTACTCCTATACGAACATCAAGCACTTGAAACATGGCTAGTACAACTGAGAAACTGAATTTTTAATTTTATTAAAATTTATATTTAAATAACTACTTGTGGCTAGTGGCTACCATATTGGACAACACAGTGCCAGGGTGTATATTGTCAGGGGGAAAAAGCAAGGTACAGAACTAGGTCCATTATGCTACCATTTATGATTATAATGGGGAGGAAGAGACCATACACATATTGTCTTGTGTATTTTCAGGGAGAATAGACAAGAATCTGGAAACACAGGGTGCCTCTCTGGAAGAGGAGAAGAGGGTGACTGGGGACAACGTTTGGAGCAAGATTTTCCACTATACATTTTTTTTATATACCTATTGAATTTTATGGCCTGTGAATTATTTCCTATTTAAAAATTAAATAAAATCACTTTTAGAATACTCATCTGTGATACTGTAATATAATGAGAAATATATAGAGGTTGAGCACCCCTAAACTGAAAATCCAAAATCCAAAATGCTCCCAAATATGAAACCTTTTTCACACTGACATGACACTCAAAGAAAATGCTCATTGGAGCTTTTCAAATTTCAGACATTCAGATTAGGAGCACTCAACCAGCATAATGCAAATATTCCAAAATAAAAAAAAAAAAATGAAATCTGAAACATTTATGGCCTCAAGCATTTCAAATAAGGAAAACTTAACCTGTATTAGGTCATCATCCTGGATTCCTGGCTCAAAACTTCTAAAACCTTTGTAATTTCCTAAGTGACAGGGATGGTAGGAGCACCTTTTGTTCTAGTGTCTGGTCTTTGACCAGGTTCCTAACATAGATCTCCTAAATCCCTTGGAATTTCTTGGGTGATGGGACTGTCTTTTTTCTAATGAGGCAATTCTCTTTGGGACTACTGGATGGGGGCTAGTTGCTAGAAAGACCAAACCAGAATTCCGACCTCCTTCAGGAAGAGGAGAGGAGCTAGAAATTAACTCAATAACCAATCATGCCTTTATTATGAAGCTTCAAAAAAAAAATTCCTGAAATATAGTGTTTAGAGAGCTTCCATATGCTGGAAAGGTCGTACACCACAGCTACACAGGGATAGAAGCTTCTGTGCTTGGGGCCCTTGTGGACCTTGCCCTATATACTTACTTCACCTATAACCTTTATCATATCCTTTATAATAAACCAGTAAATGTAAGAATTTCCCTGAATTCTGTGAGCCATCAAAGCAAATTATTGAACCCAAGGAAGGGTATGTGCCAATTGGTCAGAAGCACAGATAACAGCTGGACTTATGTGTGAAATTTGAAATGTAGGAAGTCTTGTGGGAGTAATCTCTTAACCTGTTGCATATGATGCTAACTCCAAGTAGACAGTAGCAGAATTGAATTAAATTTCAGGACAGCTGATGTTGGAGAATTGGTCTGTGTGGGGGGAAAAAATCCCTCATATCTGGAGACCAGGACTATTAAGTGTGGCAATCACTGTCATTTCTTTTTAAATTTTTTTGTCAGATTACCAATGCACCCTTTCAAATGGAGTCAGCAATAGACTAAAAGACATGCATCCTCTTTTCTACTTGCTGGGATAAGTTTCCAAATAGGAACATCTACTTATCTACTTTCTCAGCTCAGGTAAATGCTATCATTCGAAATATTAAATATCTTACCCATAACCACTGGGCTCAGAGCTATAGATGTAGCTGAACCCACCCTTTCCTTTCCTAGTTTAGAAGATAATTGCCCTGGGCACAGTAATTATCATTTACATGCAGAATGTAAGCAAGAAGGAGGAGGAAGAAGGGAAGAGATTGCTATAGCCTGCACCTACTAGTCTGCAGCTATGTTTTTAGGCAGAAAGTCCTTGTCTACCCTTCTCTCACTAAATGCCTACTTACCAACATTTATTACCTGGTCATATCATTGTGTACAAGCATTCGGTAAGCAGTTGGCGCCGTACAGAAGACTGTGATAGGAAACTTGGAAAGTGTCTGCAATTTAGAAAAAGTAAACTCTTGGTCTTACTGCACTTTAATAAGTTCTTAAATGTCTTTGGTAGCCATAGCACAATTTAAACATTGTTTATTTTAATGTAAATATACTCATACCTTTTCTCTGTACAGTCACCCCTCAGTGTCAGCAGAGGGTTGGTTTCAGGAACCCTCGCAGATACCTAATCCAAGTATGCTTAAGTCCTTTACATAAAACAGTATAGTATTTTCATGTAACCTATACACATCCTCTTGTATACTTTAAATTATCTCTAGATTACTTATAATACCTAATACAATGTTAATGCTAGATAAATAGCTGTTATATCATGTTTTGTATTTATATTATGTTTCATTCTATGATATTTTTCCCAAATATTTTCAATCTGTGGTTGGTTGACTCGAGGATTGGAACCTGCAGGGATGGAGGGGGATAACTGTCTATCATTTTTTAGGCTTACTGACTTTTTGGATGTGACATCTTAAATCATGTTGTCTTCTCTGATCTCTGCAAGTTTTTCACCAGTTTTGTAAGAAATACTGCTAATGCATTTCTAAATGTTGATCTCCTGTGCTCTGCCTTACTTGCAAGATAGAAGTTGGCTCAAAATGGGGTAAATAGTGTGCAAATACACATGCTCCCTGGCTCCATGGAGAAAAAACACTACTCCACGCAGACTTTGCCCAGCCTGTGTCTGAGGTATTCCACATCACATCTGAGGGTGTCAAATCTAGCCAGAACCTGGAAAAACAAGGAATAGCCTTGAAAACAAATGTATAAGACCAGTACATAAGACATCATCTTGGCTGTTTCGACACTTTAAGCTGCAGTTGTGTGGAAGTACCTTCCATTTATAGATAATCCTAAGCCAAAACTGCTATGGGTGTGCCCGGTCATCTTAGGAGATCCACTTGTTCCACTGGTGAAGAAAATGGCCATCATTTCATCATGTTTTGTCTTCACACAGGTGTGGTTGTCACTGACATGTCTGTGAAGGAAAAGCTATAGTGACTCTGCATATTATAGACTATTACCACTGAAAAGATTCAAGAAATTATATACTTGGACTTCTTCTCCATGTCATAAATCAGGCCTCAGTGATTTAGACTGAATTACAAGGCAAAAGCCATCTCTTTCTCTATCTTTTTAGGTGATTTCTGTAATTAAACTAAATGTTGCCATCAAAAGCCTATTTATTTATTTAATCATTTTTCTCTGTGTAAAGGCCTATTTATACATGTGATAGCTGATTTCATAGCTTTTATACTGTCTAATAAAGAAGAACAAAAGCATTTAAAAAACTCTGAGGTTTTATCATACCTCCAGGACAGTGAGGACTCTGTGATCTTACAATCATAGATATGTGAAATATTTCCCCTTCCTCTCCATTGTGGATGCTTTAAAATGTAATTTTTCAAAATAATTATATTAATACTTTTTAGTGCAAGTGATGGGCAATGACAGGGGTTGGCAAACTGTAGCCCACTGGCAAAATCTAGCCTATCTCTTATTTTTGTAAATAAAATTTTCTTGCCCATTTTGATGTATAATCTGTGGTCACTTTCATACTACATGGTAGAGTTGAGTCATTGTAATAAAGACCATAAGGCCTGCAAAACTAAAAGAGACATATAGCAAACTCCTGAAAGTGTGTTTCAGCCAAATCCTGAAAGTATATTTTTTTGTTTTTGGGGTTTTTTTTTCTTAATTTGCTTTCAGTTGTCTTAGTTTGAAGCTTTTTTAAAATTTTCTTTTTTTCTTTTATTTATTTATTTATTTATTTTTTATTGTGACAGAGTCTCACTTTGTAGCCCTCGGTAGAGCGCTGTGGCATCGTAGCTCACAGCAACCTCCAACTCTTGGGCTTAAGTGATTCTCTTGCCTCAGCATCCCAAGTAGCAGGGACTACAGGTGCCCGCCACAACACCCAGCTTTTTATTTTTTTGTAGAGACGGGATCTTACTCTAGCTCAGGCTGGTTTTGAACCTCTGAGCTCAGGGCAATACACTCAACTCTGCCTCCCAGAGTGCTAGGATTATAGGCATGAGCCACCACGCTGGGTCAGAAAGTATGGTTTTTTGTTCCCACAAGAGAATCACTGTACTTCTGGTTATAGTAAACAGTAAGACTAAAGAGAATCCATCCAGTAGAGGAAGGATTTTAGTTAGAAAGAAAACTTTTAATCCAACCATTTGATCTAGCAATCTACTACTGCTATCTACCCAAAGGAAGAGAAGTCTTTTTACCAAACATATACCTGTGCCCAAATGTTTTTTAGACATTTACATAAATGTAAATTATGCAGCATAATTTACAATTGCAAAAATGTGGGACCAATTCATGATCAATGTGGGATCAATTCATAGATTAATAAGATGTGGTGTATACATGTGTGCACCCACCCACACACCATGGAGTACTACTCAACCATAAAAAGGATGAATTAATACCTTTGGCAAAAGCTGGGGTGGAACTTGAGACCATTAATCTAAGTGAAGTCTCTCAATAATGGAAAAACAAACACTGCATATACTCACTATTAAACTGGAACTAACCAATGAGCACACATGTACAGAGAGGGAATTAAAACTCAAGCAGGGGGACCAAAAAATTAATAAACTTCTCTTTCTCCTCAAAAACAACAAAAAATAATCAAGCAGGAAGTAGGGAAGAGAAAGAAGGGCAAAAACCTACTTAATGGGTACACTATTG